AAGAATTTAAAGTTCAGATGGGATTAAACATCGACAAACCACTTCCAAGTTGCGGTAGTACAAATGGCGGTAATACGGCGAGAAGGTTTTTTCGTGATTTTGAAATTACTTCAAAAATAACTGAAATCGACAAGGAGTTGCTTCGAAGAGTTAACACTATTTTAATGGCACTGAAGAGTAAACATAAAATTAATGGAAATCGATTTGGGGAATATACATCTGAAATTTCTAAATTACTTGTATCTCTGTATCCATGGAGGGAACTAACACCAACAGTACACAAAGTATTGTGTCATGGTCAAATAATAATTGAATCGAATATTCTTCCACTTGGAGAGTTAACAGAAGAAGCCCAGGAAGCGAGGAATCGAGATTTTAAGCATGTTCAACTATTCAGCTCAAGAAAATGCTCCAGGCAATCACAGAATGAAGATATTTTTAATAGTTTACTTCTATCTTCTGATCCTGTTCTTTCAACTATGCGAAAAAGATGGATTTGTTATGAAACTCTATCATCTCAAAACAAGGAAGATTTAAAGGACTTATATTACCTTCTGGATATGTATACCGATATGACAGATTATTTTATAGAAAATAAGTAGTGTTAGGAATTAACTATATAAGTAGGTTGTAAGAATTAATTGTATTGTGTTTAAGATAAACAGTTCAAATAAAAAAAGCTATTATACTAACTGCTGATATTGTATTAAATAGTGTTTTATATTTCGGTGGGCGGGAAAGGTGGTTTGTGTGGGGTGATTTAGGTGTTGTTGTGCGTGGCTCATAATAATATTATAATTTTTTATTGTATATACAATGTTATAGTCTTTAATAAAATAATTAACTAAATAATTTTTAAAAATTGTCCAAATATTTTATTCAACACCAAATGTGTGTTCTGTCACACTAAAATATGAAAAAGATGAAATTAAAGGACACAGGTTTAAATGAACATATTTTTGAATGTAATTGAGATATTGGCTTGAAATTTTTTGTAAAGAATCGAGAATTTCCATATCTAACTAAAAAATGATATTAAGGGATAAATATCGACTAAATTGTTGTAGCTATCTGCGACCCTATTAAAATTTTGATATAAATCATAGTTTTAGAAATTAAACAAATATGTAATATATGACAAAATCTTTATTTATGAACAAAACTCAATGAAATTTTCAACGCTTGTTAAATTTGTCATTTCAAATAAGAAAATGCAAAAAAAAAATTGAAAAGGTCAAAGGGCATCCCGCAATTCCCAAAAATAGGAATGAAAATCCCAAAAATGGGATTTTTTATTTTTTGCCCATAGGGTCCACATTTATTTCAGGGCTGGGAAAATACTTTTGGAATAAATAGAAAACATATTGAGGTTTCCAAAACTGCTTTCAGTTTTCTGATCCCAGCTTTGGGACTTTAGAACATGTCGCCCAAAGTTGAAGTTTTGATAAAAAATAGGTCATATTCGGAAGGACGCAGTGGCAACATTTTCAAAAAATAGGACAAGTTTTTTACGCCAAAGCGTTCTGCGTAAAGATTCCTTTTAGAAAACTATAAAATTGTTATATGTTCTTAAAGAAAATTTTATTTTATTAATAAAAGAGTTAAGACACATTTTTGGCAAAAATCTAAAATTTTTTGAATTTTTAAATTAAAAAAAGTATAGTTTTGGATCTGTAAATGATATTGATCTGAAATTTTTTGTATATTATTGGAAATTTTGTTGTCTAACTAACAAGAAAAAATTGAGTCCATTTTTAAATGCCTATAACTCGGATATTATAAGAGATAAGTAGTATGTCCAAGCATGATCTCGTAGAGCGCTTTCAGAAAATATAAAAATCTTTGTATTTGGATGAAAAACAAAAAAATGGCACGAGTTTAAAAATTTTACATGTCGTAGGTACCCTACTTTGAGCCGCCACAGCGCCGTCCCTGGGGCATCTGCGGGGTTCATCTTCAAAACTTAAACTCGAATACTCCTTGGCTACGCTCACGCCAAATTTTATACCGATCGGATCAGTCGTTTAGAAATGCCAGATTTATTTCCAAAAAATGTCGATTCTGCCCCACTGTGTATTGTCGTATAAGAAATATACAATGATCTTTATAGAAATATGACCAAACAACTACCACGGAAAGTTGTTAAAAATTAAGATATCTATGATAAAATCGAGTTTTAATAATTTTATTTACAATTGTGGGATGTTTGTACTCTCAATTGAGTAGTAAAAAGTTCCCTATAAATGATAAAATAGATGCATATTTAAGACAAATGGTTTGTGCAATTTTTGAGTATTTCGCATAAATTTACTACGGATTAAAATGAATATAAAATGTATTTATTAATTTTTTGTCCTAAAAATATAATGAATCCCTAGATAGATGTACATATGTTTTCGGATTGTGGCAACTCTAAATGGTGTACTTTGACAGTTGTATCTACCTCAAATAAAAAAATGAGTGATCAGCTGTTGAATTGACTCACCTTATAAGTGCACCCTGGGTTTAAAAAATAACTCCATATTTTAAATTTCTGTTAAAACCTAAATTTCTTAACTATGTAAATTGGCATTCAAAAAACCTTTTAAATGATAAATGTTAAAAAAATACATATCTAAAAAGGACCTTTTTTGTAACAAGTCACGAATACTCAAAATATTTTGGGGACCCATAAATATATAACAATAAATATTTTAAGAAGGGTAATTAAAGCACCTTTTTTTGAGGTGCATGTAACATTTTAATTAGATTTCGAACGAATATTACATTTTTACCTGTTTTTAATTAAAAACTGGAAAAAATGTATGTAAAAAATCTTAATAGTCGTAATCGGTCAAAATAATCGATTATTGGGCCCGATTAATCGACTTAAAAATGGAAACTAAAATAGTTGATCGAAAAAATCGATTATTGGGTTTTCATACCATTCAGTAATACACTCCCGTTCACTTAAATAGGTTCACTGTTTTGTTTACAATCAAATTAATTTTTTGTAGAAAATAATGGACTAATTAGTAATATTAAAATTTTAAATAATAACATGATTTTTAATAATTTTTTTTTTCTAACATAGCTATATTTTTTGGCTCACTTAATTAGGTTTAGTCAGTATAAAATCAGTTTACTGCTGGCAGTGGGTAAAATCCATTCTTATTCTAGTGTCTGTGAATATAGACAACATATTTTTTAAAAAATAGGTTGCGGTAACCCATTAACTAAAGAATAAAATCACAAAATTCAAGGGTTTTTGGAAACTGTACAAAATCACAGGAATTTGGCAAAAAATTTGGCCAATTCAGAATGTTATTCGCAATTTTATAAGAAAACAGTCTGAATATTAAAAAAACATAAATGGAACTACATATGGAGTCATAACAAAAGCGGACAGAAGAGATTTCATAAAATTTGCCTCCAAGTCAAGTGATTCTGCAGCAAACATTAAAGAAAAAGTGGGTGTTACAGCAAGCCTAGCTACAGTAAAACGAATTGTAAGAAGGGCCAAGGCTTTAAAAATATTAAAAAATTAATAAAGCCCACTCCAATTGCCACTCGTAAAGAGAAAACCTAATCAGTTTGCACGTGAACACATGGTTATAAAAATCAATATCGACATCTTGTTTTTTCGGATGGAAAAAAGTTTAATTTAAAAGGTCCAGATCGATATAATCATTATTTTTGATTTTTGAAAGGAAGAGCTCTACCTGAGTCGTCTGCAAGCTCTGGAGGATGTGGTATGTAGTGGGGGGCAATTTCGTATTATGAAACATGTGAGCTTCAATTTCTTCCATCTAGTAAGAATTGTAATAATTGTAATGCCATACTGGAAACAGCTTTTTTCACATTTTCGGATATCTTTGAACCCTTGTCGTGGATATTTCAAAAATATAATGCCCCGATCCAAACCGGCAGGGCTGTAAAAGGGTGAATTCGAAGCCAGAATGTAAAAATTTTGGAGTGGCCTCCATAATCTTTTCACCTATTTATTATTGAAAAGGTTTCGGATATTCTTTCTCGTAATGTCTATAGGTCGGGCAGGCAGTATGACACAAAAGAAGCCTAAATTAAAGGAACTAAAAAGGCATGGACCGAAATTTCCTTGCCATTACTTAAGAATCTTTATAACTTTTTATCATCTCGAATTTTCGGAGTTATATCAAGTAACGGCGGATATGTTCCTTAATAAATCTTTTCTAAAACCTTGTAAAAATGTTTATAAAAATAAAAAAGTTTCATGAAAAATGCATTTTGTTGTAGTTTTTGTCAATTAAAGATGATGAACCTATTCAAATGAGCCAAAAAAATGTTGTTCAAAAACGTAGTATTTTAGAAGAAAAATATTAAAAATCGGTTATTAAGTATTGCACTAATGTCTATCTAGAGATATATAAGACATCATGGTATCAATTAAAATTTTAATATAACCCATTAGTCCATTATTTTTTTGCAAAAAATTTGAATGTAAACAAAACAGTGAACCTATTTAAGTGAGCGGGAGTGTATACACATATTTAGAGTTAGGTACTTTTTCACTAACGCATGCTTAGAGTTAGGTACTGCTGTCAAAGAGTCGGACTGCTTGTTATACTTTGGTTATAGATATAAATTTCGAAAAAACACAGCATGTTTCAAATTTGAAGAAAATCATTCGATGTCAAATTTAATGTTTGTTGAAAAAAGTCCTAAAAAATATGAACTTTGAACCTCGATAAAATCTAAACCGTAACGAATTTTGGAGAACTTTAAATTTGGTTTTTGCACGAAGAATGAATGTACCGAATTTCATCGAAATCGGAGGGGGTTATGTTTAAAGTCCTACTTTTTTGTTCGAAATTTTTTCAAATTACCCAGCTGGAAATCTTTGCTACAATTTTTAAAATTTGTATAGGTACCGTTATATCGATGGTTTTGTGAAATAACGGCAGCTTTTAATTTACATTAGTTCCCCTTAAGAATATTCATGACTGGGCTGTTTAAAAAGTATCACCAAACTGTTTACTTACGATTTTTCCAAAAACGATGACTTAAGGAGATAAACAAAAATGGGCAATGCATGATATAATTCCATTTGTTTGTAATTTATGGATAAGGTAAAAAAAAGGCTGGCCCAGTTATATCGATTTTGTATTATGCATGCAACTGAATAAATAAATAATCCAAGAGATACATTATTGTACTGAAAGTGTCCATTGTCTATTAGCACTTGACCAGGGTACAAAACTAATAACACCAAAGACGGCAATAAATGTTCTGTAGATATATATGGTTTTAAAGATGTCAAAACAATCACACAAGCCGGAATATAAATAATGAAATCGGCCGCAAGTACTGTAAGGCGCATAAAGCTTTTATGCTCAACAGATTCAAACCCACGAGAATCATATAACCGGACATAACTTGAATTAATTCTATTTGCAATGATTCCAACAAATAAACTATGATATGCAGTCAAAGGAGGATAATCAATGCCCCAATAAAGTAGATCGTTATCAGTACTGTTCAAATACCACTGATTAGATGGGAGATTATATGTTATTTCTTGCCAATGCCTCTGTGCTTCATAATCACCAAACAAAGGCGGTGTCGATGCTCCTGAATACGAGCTCAATGACACAATTCCACGGGTGCCTATACCAACACATAATACAACAAATATTATAATATTATCACAATTATATCGCATTTTACAAGATAAAAAATGCCCGGAGCCGGATTGTTAGCAGAATCAACTGCTTCAGTGACGACAAACATTAACGACGTCGGCAGCTGATTCTAAAAATTTAGCCGTCGGCCTAAAATAGACTGTAAAACGGCTAACAAGGCGAATTTACATAAGGTGGTGTTATTCAAACAGCTGATTAATTATTTTTTTACTTGACTGGTAAATTTTGTAAATAAACATTAATTTCACTAAAACTTATGTTAAAATCAATTTTAATTACACAAAAACAAAATTCTAAACAAATTTTACAATAAAATGACGTTTGTTTAGACAACGAGGTTATAACGCTAATAAATGCTATCTGTACCTGCTAATTTTTTATCATGATAACAATTTGACGTTTAGCATAATAAATATTTGTCTAATATAGACACGGGTAATAAAGCTACCTTCACACGAGCACACAAGTAATATGATCTGTCAAAATTTTGTGTAGAAGAGAACGGATAGTCTAAAAGTCTCAACGTAGAAGAGCTGTGTTTCGGATTTTTTTACTTAATCGCTTTATCTACAAAGTGTAAATATAAAATATAAAACAATATTGTTAAATATGTTAGCATTTAGAGTGTGTGCCAATCGGTAACAATTTTTTTGAAAATGTAAATTTTTGATAGATATGAGGTGAATAAAATTTTACTAGCTCATAAGGCTACATAAATTTTTGATTTCAGTTTATAATACATTTGTGATTGTAGAAATTTATTTCAATAATAAAAAAATCAATAAAAGTGCTTCCTTTATTAAAACAAATGCAGATTTTCTTGTGCAATTAGTGCCAATTGTCAAAATTAAATGTAATCAAAAAAGATTTCGTTTGGCACAGCAAAAGTGATAATATTTTCCAAAATAATAAATTTTTATTTTACCATAGAACTTTGCTGCCGTTTGGCACACAGTCTTAATAGAAAAAATATTATTATGTTAAGTTTTTCTCTGTAAATCTTAATTTTCCATTTACATAAGCTGACCATACGTCCTCTTTTTTAAAGGACAATAATCTATTTTAACTGGCTGTCATCTTTCTGTCATTTATTTCTATAATTTGTCATCTTTAGTCATCTTAATTTTTATCTTCATTTTTGTGAATTAAAACAAATTTAGTTCAAACCGGTTACCGGGTTATTCTGTCAAGTTGTATGAAAAATGTTGGGCCTGCTTGTTCTGTTCATACTTTTACTGAACTCTGAAAATAAATGGTAACACTTATTTTCTTATTGTAAACCACTGAACATCTTGTAAACTTTATAAGTACAATTAAAACTTAATTTAAGTTTATTAATCAATTTCAGGCAAAATTCGCAAAAATCGTATTCGTAGTCAAATAGCTTGAAATACCTTCAATAAGCCATTGACATATACAAGAATTTTATTGCAGACTCGACCCTTCTTTAAGCCAACAAAAAGTTGATTTTTAACAATTTCTTTCCTAGAAAAAAAATAAATAAAACCTAAAAAATTTAATTTTATCGTTAAAAAATTTGTAAATAAAATCTCTGAAAAATTTAAAAAGGTTATATTATGGGAAAAATGCCAATTTTATGTTACATGTACAACATTTTTTAAGAAAGATACACATTTTAACAAAAAACTTTAATTAAAGGAATATTGTGATTATTTTCAAAATACATAGTGAACAGGAATTGGTTGCCAACAAAATTACTCGAAATAATCAGAATTTTACACGCGGGAATTAAGTTCGAAATTTTCTCATTTTAATAAGAAAACAAATCGGTCATCTAACTTTAATAAATTTCTTTCTTAAAATCTTTAAATTTGGTTTGTTTATATTTTAACAAACAAATGCATAAAAATGATCACAATCTTTATAAACATGGAAGGTAGTTAGTTACATTACCATATTTTTATCAATAAATCATAGAAAAGTTGTTATTGTGTTTAAAAAAATTTTCGTTTATACGATTGTGCCTGACATTATATCTTTCGTTAAACCGGGAAACTACTTTATTTATAAGTCAATCTAAATGTTAGTTTATCTATATATATAAATATGAGTGTCTTTATTTGTTGGTTTGTTTGTTTGAAGTCTATAGACGGTTAAATAGCTGGACCGACCGATTTTGACATAAATATGGACAATTGTAGGCAAAATGGGCGGACCGTGTATAGTGGGCATGGCACTTCCTATATACAGAAAATATTGAATTAGTATTTCTGAGAAAATATATGTATAAGTTAGAGTCCTCAAATTTTAAGGGGGCGAGATACCCCCATATGAATTAAGTACAAAAATTCGTATATCTGAGAATCTATTAGAGATAGAATTGTCAAATTTTGCAAGAACAACTTGGACATCCATGTGAACATTAGTGTAATAAATTGGCGGATAATCATTAGGGGGCGTGATAAAATACAAAATTTCGTATATCAGGGAGACTATTAGAGATAGAATCATCAAATTTTGCAAAAACAACTTGACACCTATGTGAACTACAACAGATAGGAGACCTGAACTGTTGTACAAGTAGCTTTAGCATCAATATGGATATTTGGTTTAAGAATAAGTCGACAAAAAAACTGGGCGAGGCTCCTTCCATATAAATTAAATATTAAAAGTCGTATATCTGGGAATATATAACAACTAGAAAAAATTTTATATGGGAATATGGTTTTTAGTGTAGCAAAGCACACTGGGTAAGCTAGTATACATACATATATATGGGCAATTTCGTGTCAAGTGAAACAACTTTTAAAATTGATGTCTTTAGGTTTGGATGAAATTTGAAATAGGGTTCACGCACATAAAGAAAACAACCCGACGAAAAATAAAACAAACCGTAACAGACGCACATAAAGAAAACAACCCGACGAAAAATAAAACAAACCGCAACAGCTGTTTTAACAAAATAAACATTTTTTTTGGTGTGGTGAGTTTTTTTGTTTACAAATATGTGTTTGTGCACGTGGAAAAGACGCAAAAACTCGTTTTCAATATTTACATTTTCAATATGTGTTTATGCACGTGGAAAAGATTCAAAAAAATTGATTTTCATGATTTACTTTAAAAAAATTAGTTTTGATCAATTAAAATATGTATATAAATGTGGAAAGGAACAAATCTGATAAAATATAAATATATTTGGGATTATATCGTTACAGAATGCCTTTTAATAAAAAACATTCAAAAAATAATACTATGGTCATATATAGAAAATAATATATAAATGTATCGGACGATCTTGTGCATGATAAAAACCTATATAGAACTTTAAGTTGGAAGTGTAGAAATCGGATGACAAACATTTTTTTCCGGATTTCATCGTTCTAGGGTGTGTACTACAACAACAAACTTTTTTTTACAAAAAATGTTACTATGGCCGTATATATAAAATGATATATAACTGCTATCGAACGATCTTGTGCATGATAAAAACCTATATAGAACTTTAAGTTGGAAGTGTAGAAATCGGATGACATACATTTTTTTCCGGATTTCATCGTTCTAGGGTGTGTACTACAACAACAAACTTTTTTTTTACAAAAAATATTATGGAAGTATATATAAATTGATATATAACTGCTATCGGACGATCTTGTGCACGATAAAAACCTATATAGAACTTTAAGTTGGAAGTGTAGAAATCGGATGACATACATTTTTTCCAGATTACATCGTTCTAGGGTGTGTACTACAACAACAAACTTTTTTTTTACAAAAAATGTTACTATGGCCGTATATATAAAATGATATATAACTGCTATCGGACGATCTTGTGCATGATAAAAACCTATATAGAACTTCAAGTTGGAAGTGTAGAAATCGGATGACATACATTTTTTTCCGGATTTCATCGTTCTAGGGTGTGTACAACAACAACAAACTTTTTTTTACAAAAAATGTTATGGAAGTATATATAAATTGATATATAACTGCTATCGGACGATCTTGTGCACGATAAAAACCTATATAGAACTTTAAGTTGGAAGTGCAGAAATCGGATGACATACATTTTTTTCCGGATTTCATCGTTCTAGGGTTTGTACTACAACAACAAACTTTTTTTTTACAAAAAATGTTACTATGGCCGTATATTTAAAATGATATATAACTGCTATCGGACGATCTTGTGCATGATAAAAGCCTATATAGAACTTTAAGTTGGAAGTGTAGAAATGGGATGGCGTACATTTTTTTCCGGATTTCATCGTTCTAGGGTGTGTACTACAACAACAAACTTTTTTTTACAAAAAATGTTATTATGGCCGTTTATATAAATTGATATATAACTGCTATCGGACGATCTTGTGCACGATAAAGACCTATATAGAACTTTAAGTTGGAAGTGTAGAAATCGGATGACATACATTTTTTTCCGGATTTCATCGTTCTAGGGTGTGTACTACAACAACAAACTTTTTTTTACAAAAAATGTTATTATGGAAGTATATATAAATTGATATATAACTGCTATCGGACGATCTTGTGCATGTTAAACACTTATATAGAACTTTCAGTTGGAAGTGTAGAAATCGGATGACATACATTTTTTTCCAGATTTCATCGTTCTAGGGTGTGTACTACAACAACGAACTTTTTTTTTTACAAAAAAATGTTATTATGGAAGTATATATAAATTGATATATAACTGCTATCGGACGATCTTGTGCACGATAAAGACCTATATAGAACTTTAAGTTGGAAGTGTAGAAATCGGATGGCATACATTTTTTTCCGGATTTCATCGTTCTAGGGTGTGTACTACAACAACAAACTTTTTTTTTACAAAAAATGTTACTATGGCCGTATATATAAAATGATATATAACTGCTATCGGACGATCTTGTGCATGATAAAAACCTATATAGAACTTTAAGTTGGAAGTGTAAAAATCGGATGGCGTACATTTTTTTCCGGATTTCATCGTTCTAGGGTGTGTACTACAACAACAAACTTTTTTTTTACAAAAAATTTTATTATGGCCGTATATATAAATTGATATATAACAGCTATCGGACGATCTTGTGCACTATAAAGACCTATATAGAACTTTAAGTTGGAAGTGTATGTCGGATGACATACATTTTTTCCG